ATTGGGGACTCGATGGAGGAGGGGAGAGAGGGGCTAATGTGAACCTAGGGGAGCTTGATGATTAGGTTTCTATCTATTTTTTGGACCCCCTGCCGAGAGTATCCCCTAGATATCCCACTGGTTGGCATTTGTATTAAACACATTGATATTTGTGTTGTGTAAAAAGGAACTGGCCACCCTACCACACAATGCCAAGGCTTAGCACGATGCTAAATATCTACAACACATATCTGACGAATCTTTGGTGAAATTAATAATATTAATAACTACTTTTAATCAAGTTAATCAATAAGACTCTCGACCAACAACTCAGAATACAATAGTTATATTGATGGAGGGCGCTATATTGCCATATTGGTCAAAATCAGAAACTTTCAAGGCCATTACTGAAACATTCGTGTTAGATCATGGAGGTATAAAAATTTATACCTCCATGGTTAGATTATATATCAACTCTGCAGCAGGCGAAAACAATCGTACAGGATATTGAATACTTCATTTATCAGTTAAAGGAGGTATAAAATATTGCTACACCTCCTTGATTAAAATAATCTTTTACTAAAAGAGCGAGAGGAGATTCTCTGAGTGCTCTGACAAATAAAATAATATAACTATTTATATGACCACCTAGCAAATATAGACGGTGCCTTACAAAGGCAATAAAATATTTTTGCATGATTTAACTTGAAGGACGCCCAGAATGTATCTTTGTGGGATGTGCATGCGTTCCTATAGACTTTGCCTCAAGTCTCTAATTTATTGGTTCTTTCCCTAGTATGGGACGCCATGCAAATAAGTAATATGGAACGCCATTGGTGCCAAAATCGATGTATTTTTAAGCATTTTCACTGATTAAGACAAAATTTAGGGACTGGAATCTAGTCTAGCATTCCTGGCCTCTTCCAAGTAGTCAGTTGACTAAGAGTCCAGAAAGGTCACCTGATTCCCTTGTCTATGCTTTTGGCTAATAGCAAGACAAATTAATTCACATCATCATCTAAAATGTCCTATTTGAAACTGGTTAAATAGTGTTAATAGACAAATTTAGATTACATGCAGAGAGTTTGCTTTGAACAAAAAAAAAAAAAATATTTCAGCATATAACAATTAGATGTTTAAACAGTTAATATTGATTCTTCCACAGCACATCATAACCAAACATTCAACCAAGAAGTATAATAATACTATATTTGAGTGGTTGTCTTAAACGACACCACATAATTTCAATTGAAATTTTTTTAAAAATAATAAAATAGATTGCAAAATTTGTTAATAATGTTGATAATAATGATGATGATGATGATGAAAATGACAATGAATAATACGGTAATTATTATAATTACCGTAATCATCATTAATGTCATCAGAACGTTACTTGCTATGTTTTGTATTTTAACAAATCTGGCCATTTGCAATGATAATTGCTATGATTCATAATTATGAATCCTTGAGAAATTCTTTTCTTTTAGTTTCTTATGCAGCTCAACAATGTTGTATATATAATAGAAAATTAAAACAGCAATAATAGCCGCATATATGTTGATGATAATGACTATAAGAATTAATCAAGAATATAATCTATATCAATAATGAAAATATAAACAATATAAGCTATAATTTTACGACATCCTTAAAGACTTGGATCCTCCTGGATGTTAGTGACAACGTCGTGGATAGCCTGAGCGACGTAATCAACATTCTTCGTTGTCAGTGCACACATGTTTATCCGACCAGACTTCATGCAGTACACATGGTGCTTTGTTTTTAGACTTTCAACTTGTTTAGCTACAACGAAAATAAATAATACATGCTATATAGTAATAATAATAATAATAACAATAATAATAATATAATAAGATAAGATAAGCTTTAATAATAATAATAATAATAATAAAATAATAATAAAAATAATAAAATAATAATAAAAATAATAATAATATTTTTCTATTATTTTTGTGAATTTTACAACACAGGAAGACAGATTTCATCTACTATGTATGATGAAATAAATGTTATCTCATCTTAACTGAATAATAAAAATAATAACTCAACTTAATAATCATAATAACATTAAAAAAATAATAATAATGATAATAATCACTTCATGGAGACACATTGTTTTTCATTGTTGTATTTCGCTGCGAGTCCCTGTTAAAAAGCACTTTACAAATATTGTATTATTTTATTATCTATAGCACTCTCAACTGTAATGTCATAAAAAAAACAAAAAACTGTTGTCATCATCGATGCAAACAGAAAATTATCAAAAACATAGGGACAGTAAAGTACAGTACTTAAACAGTGGTTTAAGAGCTTTTTAATAAATTAATTTTAAGCTTTTTCAAAATATTAAGATAATTCATTTTTTTTAGGAAAAGTGAAGCTAACTAAAGTACTTACGTCCTAAACCTGTGAAACTAAACATTCCAATCTGATCGACAATGTGGTTCCATGTTCCTGGTGTTCCAAGGGCTTTCAAGCGTTGGTATAACAACTCTCTCATCTGGAGAACTCTTTGGGACATTTCCTTGATATGCTCTCTCCTGAAACGTACAACATAGAATTACTCATATAGTTGCAGAGGCGGTTCTCTGGGGGGGGGGGGGCCTAGATCTACGACTAAGTTGACACTATCACACATTTTCTTAATAAATTTCTGGATATTATCTTTTTTCTTTTCCTTTTCTTTATTCACAATGCACAATGTCAAAGTAATATGTCATACAGCAAACTTAATGACTTCTTTAAGTGGCAATCCCACCACAAGACAAAGATATACTCAAGATACTGTACATACGTTTCATTATGAGGCTTAGACAAGATTTTTTTTCATACCTTGTTCCGCGAACCTACCGCCAGCAAATAAAAAAGATTTTGAATAAAAATAAATTTATTTTTGGTCAATTAGTGCACCCACCACCTCGAAAAAATGAGAATTTCAAAAAAAAAAAAATGCTTTTTAAAATTTTTATTACGCCTGCTGCTGCCTTAAAATCTCCCAAAATAAGATATGTATATTTTTCCCTAAATATATAAATTTAAAGCATTTAACCATCCCATTACTACACTATTTACATTCACCAATAAAATTTTATTTTTATTTTCTCCTCCATCTGGATGTTTTTTGCAAAACTATTTGCTAAATAAGAAAACAAAATTTCTATGAAATTACCGTGAATTTCTACGAAATTACAGTGAATGATATTAATTTAATACACCTACAGTGATGGTGCAGATTTAGTATAATTATAATTTTACAGGAACACATATGTTGTATATATAAACATACAGGTAACTGGATTTGATTTTAATGTACAAATTATGCTTAATTGTATTTATTTAGTTATCAAACAAATTTGTACACCACACCGCACAGTTGGTGCCAGGGTTAATGCATAATGTACTTCTAAATAACACAATTAAAAAAAGGCAGAAGTATTCTATTTAGTTAAGTATTCGAAACAGGAATTACCATTGTTGATTCAATGTTGGGTTATTCAATATAGTGGCAACAATTCTGGCTCCGTGATTGGGTGGATTAGACCACATGGGCCTGGCAATCAATTCCAATTGGGACTTGATTCGACTTTTACAGTCTGCATCATTCACAACAACTGCCAGGTTTCCAACTCGTTCGTCTGAAATTATGGTAAATAAAAATCAAGGTAATGAGGTGTATCAAAGAGATGGGTCAACATTTTGTTATACAATACAAATAATCATTGGTGGATGCTGGAATTCAGAACAAGGGGCTCAGGGATGGAATTTCCCAGATGAAGAACCTAGACTATCCCACCATGTTTTGGGGCTGAAATTTTTTGGTTACAGCACCTCTAGATGGCCGGAAATGGCACTCCCAGATTTAAATTTTCCCTTTTTTTCCATTTTATATTTATTTTTAAAAAACTTATGGAGGGCCCAGGCCAGCTCGTCTTCCTTAAATCTGCCACTGATAATATAAAGAAAAAATTATATACACAGCCCAGTATTAGATCATAGCAGTAATGAAAACATCTACAACATATCTAGAAACTGTAGCAGTGTTGTGGCTTGTTGGTTAAGATCCTCTATTTCCAGTCTCAGGGTCCTAGGTTAAAATCCTGTCATATGCTATTGAGTTATTTTCTAATCACTAAAAACAGCTCCATTGCCTAACCATCATAAAGAGACCTAATAGTTATAATGTAATTATAACAAAATTGTTATGGTTAGTGTAGTATAGATGAATACATAAATACAATATGAAAAAGAGTAACTACATACTGTACAAGCCAAAATTTTTAGAGAATGACTGTGCAGCGAATAATTCCATTCCCTTGCTAGCAAAGTAACGTATGGCCCAGCTGTCCCTCTCAAGATCACCACTAGCAAAGCCAATATATGCAGCATCAAAGAAAGGAAACAACTTCCGCTCCTGCAAAATTTAAAAATAAAATATATTGCCTTAAAATAATATAAAACAGCATTTTATGTATAGTATATCTTTTTAAATATTTTATTACAGAAAAAAATATATATATTACTTCTACAAAAAATTGGATCATGACTTAATGTAAATGGACCATTCAGAGTGTCAATCAACTTAAGAACTGACCAATCAGAGCATCGCTAAGAATGCATGCTTGTCCCACAAACACACATCTTATCTCAGCAACAATATCCAAGGGGTGGGGCTTAGTGGAATGTCCATTTAGCAATTTGCTCTATTTGTATGGGCACATCATGACTGTTATTATATGGGCACATTATGACTATATATGGGCACATCTTGACTATATATGGGCACATCATGATGGTGTGCAGACAAATATGTATTACCTTACCTTGTGATCTTTGTCGATGTATTTTAACAAAATTAAAATGTATTCTATGTTGTAGATTAAGCTTTTATCATTTTTTAAATTAAGTATCTTCTCAACTGAAATAATATTTTTACATCTTGTTTGAAATTGTATCCTGTATAAACATGTTTACACAAAAAATAAATAAAGACAATAACAAAAAAAAATATGATATTGAAAATAAGTTGAAACTTACCTGAATGATCTCTGCCATCTTCTTCCACTGATCGTTGGTGAGGTCCACACCAGTTGGATTATGTGCACAAGCATGTAATATAACTACTGCCCCCTCAGGTGCACCCTAAATACCCAAACAGCAAAAGAAAAGTTACCTCTATTAAGTGCTCTATAAAATCTTTGAAATAATGTGTCTTTATAATTTGGTATAACTACAACTGAAATGATACATAAAAATGTACATTCTCGAAGAACAACTAGCTTTCTACTAGAACAAATTTCCACATTCAAAGTATGTATGAATTTATTTATTTACATACCACGATACTCTGAATGGTTTAAAATGTTACTACCGTATTTAAATTTTCAATGTATTTTTCACACTGTTACTGTCCCCTTTAAAAGACATATGGTCATCACTGACAGGATCTGTTGACAAGAACAATGCTGGTGTTTACTTCGAGATCACAGATTTACTATTATGCTACACAAATGCATTTCAGTTATCTTTGTATTTTATTTTATATTTGTAAATTAAAGATTTGTTTACCTGGATGTCCTCCATCATGCCTTCAAAATCCAAAGCTCTAGTCTCCTTCTTCCAGTACCTGTAAGTCCGCACTTCCTTGAAATGGGCATTTTGGAAGATGCCGTAGTGATTGGCTGCGAAAACAGGTATAGAGAATAAAATAGAAACAGATGTATTTTGCATATTATTTTTATGCTATACTTCATATAGCACATAAGACAAATAGCCACACAGGGCTTTATTTCCCTTGTTTAAGCAAGACTTTTTTATTCTTTCTTTCACATACTTTTTTTAAAGATCATCGGAGGAGGGCGGAATAAAAATAAAAATTAAATTTTGTTTTCTTATTTAGCAAATAGTTTTGCCAAAAACATCAAAGCGGAGGAGAAAATAAAAATCTTTTTTATTGGTGAATGTAAAATAGGATGGTTAAATGCTTCAAATTGATATACTTAAGAAGAAATATAAAGAAAAACTTCTATTTTTTTTTCATGGCGTGTGCGCTAATTGTCCAAAAATAAAATTTTATTTTTATACAAAATCATCAATATTTCCAATCGGTGGGTTCGCCACAGAAGGAATTAAAAAAAGTCTCCCCTCATGCATAATATGCAACGAGAATCAATTATATGTCAAAAATGATATAATGAAGACAGTAAAATGCTAGATGATAATAATATAAGCAAGTGAGTTGTTTTACTTTAAATAATTTCCAAGTGACATTTGGGTTGTAAATTATTACACGGTATCTCTACTTGCATAATATTTTAAGAGAAGTAGACATTGTACTATAGAAGAAAACCAATGTATTCTTTTCAACAAGGTTTCAAAATTGTTCAGTTAAATTACTTTCAGAAAATGTTTCAGAAAAATAATACTATGGCTGGTTGGAAAGGAAGTGCTGGTACCCTGAGAAAGACGAGAAAATTTGCCACACAACTTTCATGATTTATTTTTGCTAGTGTCTCTAATCGAGTCTTGGTAAATTAATAAATTAATAATAAGAGTATTAGCCAAGTGCTAATTTAAGTAATCACTACATGAATACTTTCCAATAATTACTAAATCGATTATTGTACTTAAGTATGATTACGTTTATCGACAAGTCCTGGCATCAACTTAAATTGAAACACACCTTTCTGTTAATTACCAGCATTCTAAAAATCAATAACTATTTACACTGTAGTTGGTAATTCTAGACCTTCTAATTTAAGCTAATAAATTGTGAGTAATATTAATTTTCTCAGAATAAATTCTGGTAATTTTCAGGATTGGAATTTAATATGGGACTCAGTGATTATACGACAAACTTAAAACAACAAGGGAATAACAATTCTAGTATTAGAACTAGCAGCAGAATAGATTGAAATTTACAGGGCACCTTCAGAAAAGAAGCATTGTACATAAGAGACTGCATGAAGGCTACAACTGTTTACAGTGGCTATACTCTTGGGTCAACAAGATGATGGAACTGATTATAATCTGAATATGAACACATTTAGGGCAAATAGAAAAATTTATTAGATTATCACTCCCACCCGCATCAAAAATTCAGGATGCGGGAATAAAAAAATTTGTTTTTGCCGCATCAATTATTTCAACAACATAAAAATAACATGCAATTTTGTGACTTCAAATGCATTTTCTTTAAATAACTATAAAATTAAACCAGTTTTTATACAATATTTACTATTACAGACCAAATATAAACAGTCCCTCCCTCATCAATAAAAAAACAAAAGCGAAATAATTTATTGTTCCGATAAAAAAAAAAACAAAAAAAAAACCCACCCTCCCTCATCAATTTAAAAAAAAAAAAAAAAAAGTAATAATCTAATAATTTTTTCTATGTGCCCTTATGAGAAAAAATTTAAATGTGAACAAATTTCTGAGCCTACAACATTAACTTGGTGGATAAGATTGTATAGTGGTATCAATCTCTTTGTAAATTCAACTCTATTACTTTCCTTGGAAAGCAATACGGAAAAATATATATTTCAGGAATGATACTGAATATGCTTTCATTTTCCCACCCAGCACCTTTAATAAATATAGATTTAGCGCTTTAAAGAAATTTTTTTTGAATAATTATTATTAATATTATTAAAATACAGAAAGTTCAGTGGAACCACACAATATAGAGCTGACAATGACTATGTCCTAGTCCACATATCAAGCGCCTTGAGCATCTTACATTAGATGGATATGTGCGCTAATATAAAATTACACTATTATTAATATTATTAACATTTACAATATATCTCAGTCAGATTGCATAATTTAAACCAACTAATTGTTGTTAAACATACTATAGGTGTTCTCAGTATAGAGCCCATCCAAAGTCTCCCCAGGTACTTAAAAAATAATAAATATTTAACAAAATGATAATAACAAAAATCAATGTATTTTTATGATTGATTGAGAAATAAAAACGACTTTGAGAGTGAAAAACTTACCCCATGTTGGGACAGGAACGTAAACCAAAGTGCTATGAAGATGTCTTGAAAGAAAGTCAGCACCAAGACGAATTGCACCGGTGCCACTCAGAGCTTGGAATCCCATGGTCTATTAGGAAAGCAATACAACAAAGTATGTTGTTATTATATCATATAGCATACCATACATAGATATTCATACGAAAAATGACTTTATTGCCATCACTAGTATCGTATTCATCATACTGCAGTCACTGTCATCATTATCATCACCATCTTCAATACCAGCACAACCCCGCCACCATTGTCATCGTGCTTGTTTTTATCCTAATCATCATCATTTTTATTTATTTAGTGTTAGGCACTAGGGCCAAGGATATACAGTGAACTAAATCACTCTTCAAAGTGGCAATCCCATTACAAGACAACAGGGGCCGTATGGACCAGTACACCGGGGTAACCCCCTACTTATCTCGAAGGATGTACTGGATACTTTAAAGTGCACATGAGGCAATTGTGTACACTAATTTATAGTTCTTATATGAGAAGCATTGTTCCACCTCCAGAACCATAGGCGAGCGCGTCGTTCGAACCAGCGCCGATATTAAAGCTGTAGGTTGCGGCACCTCTGCCACAACTGCTCGGTTATTCAACTTGCCATTAATGACATACTGGTAACCACAAGGCTAAAAAAGCTTTAAAAAAAAATTTGCTCCTTCATAGTGGAAACAAAAATTGCGAAAAAAGCTAACCCTAGATCTTCAAGATTTTAGGGAGTAATACAATGTCTTTATTTTTTATCAGTCCCATCATCATCATCTAAATTGGCTGGTCTTCGGTCCTTTTGAAAAAAACATGTATATATTTGTGGTTGCATTGCCTTGAAATTGTTTTAAATACACTATGGAATATAATTTATATTGTTAGAGTGCGGTTATCTGTGTGTAGTCACTGACCCGATTCTGTAGAATAGCTGGATTGTCATCGCCAAGGATCACCTTAACAGCTGCAGTGGAGAACTCTTGCAGGCCGGCGATCGGCAAGTACTCATGGTCCAGGGACCTGTCAGCTGCCATCTGCTCTTCAACTTGCCTGACTGCTGGTAGAACCCATGGAACACCATCGTCAGTTCTATATGCTATATACAACACAGTCAAATATTATCACATCAAAATAATGGTAATAATAGAGTATATATTTAAATTCATTATCATCTTTACTGCTATGCATTTATTTATCCAACATAATAATATCACTATCTATTTTTTGTTAGTTTTTTCACCATAGTTTGAGACTTAATGTACAGCAAAGTGCCTTGTGGAATCTGCAATCCATAAGGTGCTATAAATACAGTTTTATTTATTATTATTATTATTATTATTATTATTATTATTATTATTATTATTATTATTATTATTATTATTATACTATTCTCACTACCTACTATTTATTAAACTACTATTATTATACTATTAATATTTATTAATTAATATTTACGGGAGGCGGTATACAAATTGCAAATTATTATTTATCATCATCATTTAATTACAATTATTATTATTATCATTATTATAGTACATATCAATGAATTACGGTTAACAGATTAGGAGCTATTATTTTTGGACATGCTGTAATTTGTAAAGTTTTTAAATTGCGCTAAGGACTAAAAACATAGCTCAAATTTGCGCAAAAAATCGCTAGGAAAATGGGTGTGTGGAATTGTAATTGCTGCATAATTGCATTGGTTATATAGAAAAGATTTTGTTCAAAGATCGATTTTCGACAAAATATGTGTGAAAATCGGCCCTTATATTCCAAAATGCGCAGATGGATTTTTAGGCCAAATTTTTGAGCGGAGGATATATTCCCCGCGCAGGCCTTATTTACTATATAGTCTGGATATTTGGTGTGCCAAATTTGATTTGAGCAAAATTACATGATTGACAACAATTTTTTGTTGATGACGATACAGATCCCCTCACAAACATTACAACATATAGCAAAAATACCATGTTAATTGACACCCTGCTTTTAATGAATCCCCTTTCCCGGAATTTTCACAACTTCGACAAATATTGGCGAACAGGGATCTGGCTGGGCATAAAAAAATAGGCCTAGGCCTACTCTCTACATACCACCATATCTTCTACTACTACTACTGAGTGAGTAAAATGGTGGCTGGTGGTGACAGCAAAGATGGCAGGCCTGGGAAAGGCTAGGCTGACGATGACAGTGGGTGGCTCTTGGTTGTGTGCTAACTAGCTAGGGGGAACGACATAAAAAAAAAGGTAAGGCCTACCTCCAACACCAAGATTTACTTTCACTGGGCTTTTGTCAGCTTTGTAATCAGCAGTTAACTGAAACACTGCAACCGGTGTAGCCGGTTGAACATGTGAGAAAAATGACTTTGACATGGTTATAATTGCCTGAAGTTTACAATTTTCGAACACTTTTCTTGCTCCCTATCCAGAGTACCTAGCGGCGCTATACGATCTTTGATCCAACCAACCAACCGCCTACCGATGAATATCACTCAACTCTAGGTGACGCTCTCTCGTTTGACTGTTGCTCAAAGCTCAAAGGAGAGCGCTCGATAGATTTTAGTAAATCATTATGATGACGGTTGATATTTTTTGTAGGATAACACTGATGAAGTTGATAATGATGATCGGATGATGAAAATGTTGATTATGATATTTGTTAAATATGACTGATTGATTTCTTTTTCTTTCGGGTTTGAAATATTTGATTTTTTTCCTGTTTTATAGCAGACCCATTGTAAAAAGCTATCCTGTTTCTGCTGTATGCTTCAATCATGCATAAATATTTTTTAATAAATAAAGAAATTAATTTTAATTAAAATTCGATCTGCCAGATAAAATATAGCACGTGACATAAGTGTGAACAAGTTATTTAAAGGACAGTCAATCATACAATTTTATCAATTATACTGGAAATCGATTTTAGATATTTCAGTACGGTAACTAAAATACCCTATTTAATACATTAGTAAAATGCCTGTTGAGAGAAATGATCCAGATTTCACTGTTCACCTCAGGGGTGGCGCCAAGATTTGCCCAGGGGTGGCGCCAGGATTTGCCCGACGGGGGGGGGGGGGCAGGTCCCCGACGGGGGGGGCGATGCCCTCTACGATGGGTCAGATTTCCCCCGAGGAAAGCAAAGTAGGCGTGGTTGAGCTTCGATTGAAAGGTTTCGAAAGTGATCCAGGGGGTGAGCCCCGACAATGTTGACAATTTAAGGGTTTCAAAGGCTTATTTAATCGACTTTGAACACAGTCTACTAATATGTAGCAAATACATTTTTTTTTCTCCCCGACGAATAGTGCTTTTTCTCCCCGACTGGGGTGGGGGAGCTCTCCCCGACGGGGGATTCCTCCCTCCCCCCAACTTCGCTGGCGCTCTTCCCCTTTGGTTCACCTGATGAGCTAGCGAACACTAGCGAAAACATGTCTCAATAAATTTCGTAGGTGCTATTGTACTTATTTCTTTTGTATTTCATGCTATTGACTCCAACCTTTATTCCATTAGATTTGCTTACAGTCATTTGGAGGGTTGGCACAGAGGATTCGAAGAAAAAAAATAAACGCCCTAGGGGAGTTATTCAAGAGATTCCAAATGGGGCTCTAGAAGGGGGCGTTTATTGGAGTGGGCGTTTATTCAAAGCGGGGCGTTCATCGGTAATTTAAAATTCATGTTGTTCTTAGAATTATGAACCCACCAGTGTAATAAATTTTGTTCACAGACTATACCGATACCAACTGGCTTCAAGTAACTCGGCCCTTTAACCGACTCGGACCATAAAGACTCGGCCCTTCACCAAAAAATCGGCCGATGAACCAACTAGGCCCTTGTCAACTCGGCCCTTAACCGACTCGGCCCATAACCAACTCGGTTAATTAAAACATTTATACAAACCAAAGTTGTCAGTTATTTCATTTGAAACCAGTGTCAGTATAATCTTAGGTACGTAAGCAGGTGGTTAACATAAGCAAGAATTTAGTCCAATGAAACTGTTTATCATCTTGATACCTTCCGACGAAAATTAACCCAACCGGCGTCACCACGGCGTCCCCACTGATCGATCTAACGTGACGTTGTTATGTGGGTGTTTTATAGCTTATTGAGAATGGTACCGGTAATATCACCGAAAAAATAGATAAAATGACATTTGAATGACCAACAAAAACAACTGAGGACGATAGTTCGTCATTAGAAGTTATTTAGTATAATTTTATTCGGAAAATTAATCTCAAAATCGAATTGCCGTCCCCGGCGTTGTCAGTGACGGTTTGTATCAATGTATGTCACAAATACGTATGCTAAAATGCACAGGGACACCACGGTGTTTTTGTCTTTTTCTTGAAATCTCTTTGCCTGATCACCATCATCATACACAGTATAATAG